GCCCCCCCACACCCACCGCCCTCACCCACACACGCCCCCACCCCTACCCACGCCATCACACCCACACCCTCACACCAGAGATGCAGTGAGCCAGATGCAACTTGACGTGCTCTATCGAATAGTATATTCAGATTTTTTCTGAAAGCCCAGTAGCCGAAATAAAAACAAAGACATTGATTTTTTTTCCATAGAAAAAAAGTGAAAAAGAAGTATTTACCCTGATGATTCCCTCCACAAACTGAGCCACTTTTGAAAATTATCTCATTTGATGCAGCTTGACGAGCTCTATCGATTCATATATGTTTTACTTTCATAAGAGTAAAATTTAATCATCAGGACCTCTGGAAGATCTGTAGCAAGGTTTTGGGTCCAGACTTCCTCTAAAGATTCGCTCCATGAATTGAGCCACATCTGAATCTTAACTCATTCAATGCAACTCAACGAGCTCTATCGATTAGTGTATTTTTCACTTTGATAAGAATAAAATTTTGCTCATTTTCATTAGTGAGTCAAGCACTGGAATCGATCATCGAAGGTAACACGATGCGAATCCCGTTTGAAAGTTTTTCAGAAACCTTAATGGCCAAAATTTTATTCTTTTTTTCGAATGAAACATGTACCGATCAATAGAGCTCGTCAAGCTGCATCAAGTGAGCCAAGATTCAGATGTAGCTCAGTTCGTGGAGCGAATCGTCAGAGGAAATACTCTTTTTTCACTTCTTTTCTATTGAAAAAAATCAATGTCTTTGTTTTTATTTTGGCTAGTAGGTTTTCAGAAAAAATCTGAATATACCATTCGATAGAGCACGTCGAGCTGCATCTGGCTCACTGGAGCGAACTGTTTTGCGAAAAACTCGAATCGACTGCTAACTTCCCTTACATGTTTGAATGATGACTTAAAACATTACAAACTAGAAGAAGCTACTAAATACATGGCAAATGGATAGAAGGTAAGTTAGTTTTTCGTTTCTTTCATTGTGTTTTCTTCAAAAAGAACAAAATATTATCTAGAGAGCAATTTCAATATTTGATTATTGGGCACAAGTACAGAATTGACATTTTATAATATTAAAGAAAGACAAACAGAAAAAAAAATAAGCAGCTAGTTATGAAAATCGTTTTAAACTTTCATATGGTGTTGCATATAACAAACAGAAAATTACAACCAAAGACGAAATCTTGATACTTCAACATTTATTCGACTATTAGGAAAGCGAGTTTGAGCCATTAAACGATAAGGTTCAACTTTTTCTTTATGAATTTCGCCATAAATATCCAGAAAAATAAATTCTTTTAATGTTTCGACCAGCTGACAAAGATCTTGTTCAAAAACTGCTACATGCTGTGCTAAAACAAAATAGAATTATATTATTCGTTTAGTTTCTCATATAAAATTATTGTATTTCTATGTATATATATACCAATTGATTTCGGTGTTTTTAGAGATCGGAGCCATTTTATCATTGACCATGGATTTCTGTTGCTTTTTTCTGCTTCATAATAACCCGGTTGAACTTGAATAAAGAAAAAAAATTAGTGAGCCAATATGAGTTCGTGAAATAGACGAAAGTTTCAATCGAAAATAGTTTTTGTTTACGTGCACTTCGTTTTCAGAAAAGAAAAAGAATCGCTTCAGGTTGTTTTCAAATCAGAGGCGTGGATGCGATAGGTACCTGTACATCTCTCTTGGTCAAAAGGCACGTGGAAGTGGTACAGATAAGAAAGTTTTTCATGAAAAAAGACTTATTCTCCTAGTATGCACTCTCTCTCTCTCTCACTTTCTGTATAACAAATTGGGCACCATTGTTGGAAAATTTTTGATTACACCCCTATTTCAAATGAATAAGTTTTTATCAAAGAGTTGTCTTTAGAAAAGAGTCAAGCGAAAATGTGAATTTGTTTTGCGTATATTTTTCAGAGATGATCTGGTTATTCGAAATAGACGTTTAAAAAAACAGAAGCTATTCTTTAGCAATCATTTTTGTTATTTGTTCAATTCTATAGAGGAAAAAATATGCTGTGGACAGAACTTGCACTTTTTCAGACGTTCAAGATTCTATGATAGAAGAGGTCAATCAAAATAGGTCATAATTAAAATATGTATGCGTTTAAGATGTAGAATATAAATGGTCCCTTCAAAAATGAATCATTCACTGCCATATAAGAAATTATCAGCTGGTAATTGTCCTTTTTCCAGATATTTATTTCAATTGCTCGGTGACCATTCGAAATTTTTTCTAGACATTCAAGACTTCATGGCGGATGATTTTAAGTCATCCTAGGCGACAATTAAAATATGTATGCACTTACCATCCTAGATGTGAATGTTCATCTAAGATTGGATCATAGCACATACTCATATAAGGAACTATCAGCTGTTAATTATTCAATTTCAGCATTTCTATATCTTCTGAAAGTCACTGAATTTCGAAAAACGGATTTCATATGTTCACTAATCATATTCTCAGGATCTTTTCTATCTTTTTTTTCGACTGAAAACAATACTCAGAGGCTGAGAACAAGTGACTGACTTGAATCATGACTCATGTGTTGAGAAGAAGAAGAAGAAGAATTTGCCATGGCAACTAAGCGAGTAAAAAGCAATAAATAAGTCGAATTATTGGAAATTATGAGTACATATTTATCTAGTTCTTTTCTTTGTAAATTCAAAATCACTATCGAAAATAGTCAAATTCTATAGGAAATTTGTCAACTCAAATAATTTTTATTCTTTTAAACATGTTTGTTCAATGTTTCCATAATTAATCCATGATGAATGTGTATGATACAATTCTTTTATTAAGTTCAGTTGTAAAAAAAAAAGAAAATGAATCCATTCAAAAACTCTAGTCATTGTTTGAAGTTTAAAATAATTTGAAAATAAAATTGAAGTTGTCAAAACATTAGATTTCACTTCTCAAATGTCAAGTCTATATTTCATAATTATCAATCCTAATTTAGTGAAACTAGATAAGACTTGAATAGAAGTGATACAAAAAAAAAAAACGAATATTTTTTCATTTAAGTTGAACTATGCATCGTTATAAAATATCTGCTTAACTAGTAAAGGACAAAATGAAATCTAATAATAAGAAAACAGAATAATATTTATCTTAGATTAGTAAGAGATTTCTTTGTTTATAATAAACACTTACTAGATGTCCAAGGAAAATCATCTGCTCGCCAAAGACGTAATGTTTGTAAATGAGGCATATATTTGCTTAGAAAAGGCACAAATTGCCTGCCATCACAGATTTTTTTGTCGCCAGTATAGTGAATACTCGGAAAACAAAATTCAGCATATTGAACAGTACTTAATGAATTCGTTCTCAGCACGTCAGATGCCTAAAGAGAAAAAAACAATGAAAACATAATAATAAATCATATTAAACTACTTGAATTAATTCATCTAATTAAACCAAAGATATTTAAATGATAGGGAGAGAGAAAGTATAACAACAATTCATTGATAGAACAACTATTAAATATTTTTTTCGATTTGTCTGAGCAACAATACTAATGACAATCACTCTCCACTAGCGTTCCTAAATTGCTTATCCAATGTTCGAATAACGATGTAATACTAATATCAAGAAATCACATTATGGATCTTCCTGAATTAACTAGATTCATCTGTCTCGATTATTCAACTGATTTTATTTCTCGTATTTTTAAGTAGTTTTCGAATTTTTTTTTTTACTTTAGATTTTCATTAATATTTTCTTTTCTTTTTTAATCTCTGAATAAATTAGAGACAGTTATTGTTATAACTTAAAAACAGAGCTGAACGAGAATTGATCCAAGTTAGACCAAGTCACGCTCGACTTGACCATTTTCTTTGATCTATGTGAGTAAAGAATCGTCAAATAAGGTCTTCTATGGAAAAAGCCAATCAAGTCAAGCATGACTTGGGTAAAATTTGCCCAGTTTTGCTTAAAAAAGAATAAAATTACTCAATATGTTCGTTGTTTTGTTTCCAAATATTGATGCATAATTTCATGTAGAAAATAGACTCAAAGAATATTTGTTTTTGATTTGTCTGTTCCCTTTAAAAACGGGCATTTTTTTATCTCAAATACAATCCAGATGATCAATAGCTTTGGTCATGATCAAAAGTGTTGTCATTATGATTACATTACGAGTATATTTTTTTCTTTTTGAAGCTGTTACTCTTTAAGTTCTTAATTTCACAAATCGATTCCATAATATTATCTATTAATATATATAAGTTGATGCGACAGGAAAAACAAAAGCGATTCGCACTTAAAATAAGTCTAAATTCGATTCTCGTATCAAGTACTTTGGTGAGCTTGGGAAAACCAACTAATGCAATCTCAAAATTAAAGATTTTCTACTAAAATAAGTTTAAAAGTTGTAAAAATGTTGACTCAAATTTCAATTTGACTTAATGTTTTTCGTTTTAAATGTCAATGAGGCAATTGACAAAATAATATATTTTTACAAGTGAATCGTTTCATTTGAAAGCTGTTAGACATCGTTATTGAACTAAAGTTTGAAAAGAGATTTCATTCTTCATATGAAATTCACTATTCATCGTTTATTCAAATATAATAAACGAACCAATAGAATCTCCTAATGTAGAGATACACATGTATTGATAATGAAAAACTGAAATTTTCGAATTTGACAATGTGATGAAAATTGTGAAGATAGATACAAGAATAAAGAACGAATGATGCAGCTGACTGCATGAAATGCACTAGTTGATTGATGTCTTTTTAGTTGCTAAATTACCATGACAATTTTTTTTTCATCTTCTATTCGACACATAAGTAACAATTTAAGTCAGACAATTGTTCTTAACAACTGAAAATCTTTTCGAATCGAAAAAAAAAGGATTAATGAGATTGTAAAAATGTGATAATTGTATATCTGAAATCCGTTTTTTCTTGGAAAATCACTAACGTTCAGAATATTCAATTTTCGAGTGATTATTCATATCTAAAATGTTTATTTTAATTATGTTCTCTTCCCATTGAAATAATTCATAGCGAAGTCTTCCATGTCTAAGGAAGGTTTTCCGACATGACGACTGAAAAAAAAATGTGTCGAATATTGTACTTCACGCAATCAAATGCATTTTCTGCTTGATATTCGCTCGAGTAGAAGTTTAAGCTTTGCTTCTTTCTTAGTTTCTCGATATAGGTAACGAAAGTTTGTATTTTCTTTTGTAATAATCTCGAGAATCGAAATCAGAAAATAGTTTTTTAAACACAAGGCAAAAATATTGAAATCATATTGATATCATCTGTTTTCTGATATTGAGTAGAATTTACTGATTATTTACTTAAATCTTGACAAAAATTCGAAAATGTGCAGTCTTCAATGCTTTTTATTTTGTAATTCGAGATAACTAAAATGAAATCTTTTGATCAAAAAAACCTAAAAATAAGCAAATAATTTCATTACAAGAGAAAAGCATAAGATGTTTATTGATTATCTTTCTATTTTTCTTTATAATTTCACAAGCAAAATAGATATGATTTGATCATATCATTCTATCCAATTAAAGTTTTTTGTTCTTGTCTGTATTGATCTTTTCAAATTCTCTCTGTTTTTTTGTTTTATACGTATAAATAAAGAAAAATATGTTTTTTTTTGTATCTGAACTAATATGAACGCTTTCTCGATTGAACATTCGATTGCCAGCTTATCTTGTTTATGTTTATTCATCCTAAAATTCTCGGTCAATCTGACTTTGTCTTCAAACGATAGGAAAGGGAAGTTCTTTTGTGTACTGTTCTATTATAAACACACTCCACCTACATATTCTCAAAGAAAACAAAATATTTTTCTTTACACTCTACGGAATAGAACTGTATTGTGGTCTCAAATTCAATTTTTTAAATTGTTTACTTGGATGTAGGAGCTTTGTTTCAGTCATTTTTTCCACAAAATGTCATTATCAGTAGACTTTGATCAGTGTCTTTTCTCGAACGTTCATTAAATTTTAATTGTGTTTCTTGTAGACTTTTTCATTTATTTGTTTAATAAAACTAGTATAAGTGTTTTTTTATTTTAATTTTTTTCTTTAAATTAAAGTTAAGGAAGAATGCAAAGAAATCTTGAAAGTGTTCGTGAATGAAACAAATAAAACGGCGATTATCCAAAAATAGACACCACAAATGTTATATTTCTTGAAGTCGGTCAGATTCTTCTGAGAATTTTAGGATGAATAAACATAAACAAGATAAGCTGACAATCGAATGTTCAACGGAAAAAACGTTCATATTACTTAAGATATAAAAAAAAAAGAAGAATACTAAGACAGATAAGATGGCGTCATCTACCATAATATTTGTTCTGCTCGTAACTTTGATACCGAACAGCAAGGACATGAATTCTCTTCGATTCTCTTAGATAATTTATATACATGATCAATTCTAGTTACCAACAACATATGAGCTTTAACGGTGCGAATCACTTGAGAATGTTTCCTCGTAAACCGAAATCGATGTAGTTTGAACTTTTTAAAATTGGATTGATTCGGTTCTGAAAAATCGAAATTCGCTCTCATCTAAATCCAATTTCAAAATATACATGCTCACTTGTCTTTCAGTTTTGACTCTGCTTAGTTCACAGATGTTAAAGGATAGATCGCTTCGCATCCGTTCTAGAAATCAAGAATCGATTCTATACTTTCACATCTTTCAATTCTCCTGTCAAGAAATATAGGCTGTTTCCTGCCGCAGAGTTCTGGATATTAGTAAGAAGTTGGAAGCATCAAACCGCTGACTAGATCCGACGGCTGACTTTTTCAGTTACAATTGTTTCCGGTCGAAACTAGAAGAATCTGATTACTTGATTTGATCATCAGATTTTTGTTTCTAATTTCCTCCCATTTTCCGAGTTTCTCAGTGGATTTCTGTTGGATACCCACGATACTGACTTGAATGAAAACTAAAAAAGCATTAACCAAATAACCGGTGTCTGTTCTTTAGAATTTGTTCACTTTTCAAAATATTTATCAATAAATGTAGTTATAAATATTGTTGAACTTAAAAATCAACGTTAACTATGTGATTTAACATGATAATGATTATCTCTTGATAATTGATATTTAATTAAATCATGGAAAATAACTTCAAAAAAAAGTGTACATAACTTGGGTACAATATATAATATTGAAATGAATTAGGCATAAGAAAAAATATGTTCGAGAACTTAAAATAAGACTACAAAGTAAAAAAGAAATCCTTACGTATTCAACAACATGTAAAAGCCATTCGAATCGTTCGACAAGAAGATATTTGAGTTGTACAGTCATTGAAATGAGATGAGCAAGTACTTTTTCACGTATCTCATCTCGATCTATTGATGTAGTGGAATCAGCTAAAAACAAATTTACATTTTATGTTATTTGCATTAGAATATTTATCCAATAACGAACAGACTTATTTCAATCGATAGATTTTAAATTAGAGATTAATTCTTTTTGAAATTTATTATTCATGACTTATGTTTGAGAGAAGTATATGAGAAGAACAAAGATTTTCTAACCAACAGTTTGTAGAATGAATGCTGCGAAGAGTTATGATAAGATTTACAAAAAATATATATATTTACATTGTTCGTCAATCTCTTCTCATTCCTCGATGATTCATTTTCGGCTCTAATGTTTATTATTCTCGAAGATATTTTTTCTTATGCCTAATTCATTTCAATATTATA